AATATTATATAACTACTGAGAATTTGCATGTAATAGCAACTATTACTGTATATTTTTAAGCACTTTTAAAAATTGATTCTCTTTCTTACTGTTAAGATGAAAAACAGGCTCATAATAAAGTTGATGTTGCTAAGTACAACCAAGACTTAATACGTAACTAGTTTTAGCCTCTTCCCAGAGTGAAATTTTAAACCAATTGGTCTGGACTTTCCTGTTCAACACCAATAAGGTGATCCTCATTGATAAACCCACACCTTTTCCTTAGGGAAAGTGAAATAATCCACTTTTCACTTTGTTGTTTCTCCCTCTTTGTGCCTGTTAAAAAACTTTAATTTTGTCAACTTCTTGGAGAAACTTTCTGTTTTCTAGATGGGATACTGCTCAATCCATAGATCTCTGAATAAAGCCAATAATATATTAAAATATTTTAGTTATTTATTTTTAGAGAAAGGGGAGGAAGAAAGAGAAGGAGAAAAACATCAGATGGTTGCCTCCCATATACAACCTACTGGAGATTGAACCCGCAAGCCAGGCATGTTCCCTGACCAGGAAATGAACTGGTAACCTTTTTTCTGTAGAACTATATTGCAAATAACTGAGCCATGCCAGTCAGTACAAGCCAGTGATATCTTTAGTCAGTTGGTTTTTTTTCTTTTATACTATCTAATATCTTCTACATCTCTTTCATTTCTTCCTATTCATTTTATACTTCAGCATATGCTCTAGCATTTTAATTTTTATAGACATTCTTGCGATGATCTTATTTACTTTTTACGACCATAGATCAATAAGTATGTTTCACTTATCTTTATTATAAAATATCTCAAGAAATAATTTACAGTCATTTCTTGCATTGCTTCCCCATAAAATTAACAGTTTTGTTTCTGGACCTCATGGTACTGAAATCCTTCTTTTAATATCACCAATTCTTCTTAATTACTAAACATAACTTTATTTTAATTCTCAGCTTCCTTCATTTCTTATATCTTTGGTTATGTTAAACATTGCTCTTTGTTCTTTAAACTTTTCTTAATTTTTAATTTACCTTACACTAGGCTATTTTCTTCTTTATCAACAATAGTTTCTTTTTTCTCTTGTCACATGTAATCCTTGTCCTAATTTATCCTTTATCTTTTTTCTAAAAAAAATAAAAATCTCCCAGGTTTAGTTAAGGTTTCACTTATGGTCACTATATAAACAAAATCTAGTTTCTCTAAACTCATGATTTTCTTTTGCTGGTAATTCCTTTCTGTTCCTTGTTTCTCTCTCAGTCACCAAGCCTCTGAATAGGTGTCTAGCTTGGTCCCCTTCTCTGAAGATTAGCCGTTGGCTTTTCTTTTCTCTCTGCTTCCATTACTTTCTTCACACATCTGCCATTTCCTATCCGGTGGTCTTGTTTTAGCTGTTCTCTATTTCAGTTCTTCCATGTTGCTCTGTACTTCAATTCTATACATGATACAGAGAGATCTGATCAGATCACTGGAGAGGAGTAGGGAGTGGCCACAGGAGTAATTTTCCCAAAGCAATGATAAACAGCCTAGTATGGGACTGGCTGAGAAGCTAAATACTTCCAGAGTACATGGACTTACGGGCTAGAAGTTTTAAAATAAAAAATAAAAGGAGGGCAAAGACTTACTCTCTTCCTCAAGGATACTTGGATGATCATGCTGCAGCTGCCTGCATTTCCCAAAGGACAGTGTTGAATGTGAGAGGAAACTGGGCATAGCCTAGGACGGGGCTGGCCTGGCAGAGGGTGGCGGGGTTATTCTTCGGGTGCATTAGATGGCATAAGCTCTGATGCACAAGCCTGCCATTCTTCTAAAATCATGCAGCTCTTGTATCTTAGGTGGTTTTCTAAAATAATCCTATAGAAATAAGATAATTAAAAACTAATGGGAAGAATTTTAGGGGAACTCAGAAGTTGAAGAGTTTAGCCTTAAAGGATAGGCTTAAGTGACTCATGCATGTGGAATGCTGCTATTCTAAAATTACATAGCTTTTGAATAGAGACTCTGTTCTTTTATTCCCAAAACTTTACCTCTGGAATTTTTGCCTGGAGGCTGGCGGCAGGCAGCAGGCCCCCCCTACTTGTTTATTCAGTAACATACTCATTTTGCACAGTGAGGATAAATTAATTATTTTTTAGGTATTTCATAAAAATGAGGTTATATATTATTAGATGTCCAAAGCACATTAAAGCAAATATTAGCCAATGTTCTTACAATTTGATGAAGAAATAAGAACAGCATTTAATAACTTTTACTACATAAACAACATTAGTGTCTTAGCTAGAGTTAGAGAGGCTGAATATAATCATTCAAGGCTACTATGTTTCCACTCCTACAAACTGGAAACTATAGATTTCTAAAATAGCCAAATTAAAAATTCTAAAGCCAGCATTATATAGCTGAACTGTCCAATGGGTTCACTGCTAGCTACATTTAGCTATGAAACATTTGAAAGATGTCTAGCCTGAATTCCAAAGTCCTGTGATTATAGAATCATACCGTATTTAAAACATTCAATATAAGCAAAAGAATGTAAAATTTATCTAACACTTTAAAAACATGGATTACTTATTTAAATAGTATTCAGGTATTAATAAACACTCAAATTATTTCACAAGTTTTTTAAAAATATTTATTTATTTATTTATCTTTAGAGGGGAAGGAGAGAGGGAGAGAAACATCAATGTATGGTTGCCTCTAGTGCATCCCCTGCTGGGAACTGGCCTGCAGGAAACCGGCTTGTAACCCAGGCATGTGCTCTGACTGGGAATTGAACCACGATCCTCTGGTTCGCAGACCTGTGCTCAATCCACTGAGCTACACCAGCCAGGGCTATTTCACAAGTTTTTAAAAAAATGTTTTAATCATTTGAAATGTAAAATTTTATATTTGGCTCACATATATGGCTCATGATATAATTCTATTGATTAGTGTTTTTCTAAAAATTCCATGAATTAAGACTTGATATGCATCAAAGATTTCTCACAAGATCACTTTCACTCTAGTCAGGCCAACCTTGTTCACCCCCTAAACATGCAATAGTTCATATGATTGTCTTGTTTTTCTGTTCTTTCCTGTCATCTAAATATCCCTTGGACATACTTTTGTCCCAACTCTGTAAGCATGTATTTCTTCAGAGAGACTCTGCTATTTTTTCTGTTCAAGAAATGGAACCCATTTCTCCATTGTTTGGAATTAGGACTTATAACTTTCTTTGCCCAATGGAATTCAGCAGAAGCAAAGTTGTGAGTTCACTAAGCCTAGGTCTTTGAAAGTCTTACAGATTCTATTTTCATTTTATTGGAATGCTGCTCCCAAACTCCAAAACCAGTTGTGAAGATGCCCAGCCTAGCCTACAAGGGGATGAGCCACTGAGTGGAGCAAAGATAAATCAGTGCACATGAGGCTCCCTGTATCAGTCATTTCTCAGCAAACCCCAAACATCAGTCATTGGACTAGGATATTTTGGATACCACAAATTTGAACAAATAGTTCCAGACTCACAAATAATGAACCCTTCAGATGACTGGAAACACATGAGTAACTCAAGGTGATTGCAGGAGAAAGAGCATCCAGCCAGACTCAATTTCAGTTAACTTACAGATTCATGGACAATTTGAATGAATGTTTCTTTTTATCCTGTGGCTATTTTGTTACTCAGTAATAGATAACTAGTACCACTTTATTTCCCTCAATATTTCAAACCTAGCAGTCCATTTAAAGCAACTCGAACTAATGACTTTCATGTAGACTTTTCTAATGATCCTATATTGCCTCTGATTGCTTTCTTTTAACTGGATTGACAGTCTTTGAATATATTATTTTTTCTATAATTATCATTTTGGAATTATTTCACAAATACAGTCCTTGCCTTCAGAGCTATGTAATTCAGCTTTTTTTTCTTGACAGAGAATGTGAGAATTGTAGCACAGTGCTGGGGTTCATAACTATGACAAACATCGTGGCTATTCCTGCCGCCATTTTTCAGCTGTTATATGTCAGGCACATATTTTAACTCTCAAAAGTCTGTGGCATGAAAACAAGTTTTATACTCAAAAGGACTTGAGACATGAAGAGGTTTATAACTTGTAGAAGGTCACATAATGTCAGTCAGTAGGTCCAGGGTCTGACAACAGACCAATTATCTGGTGACGGAACTCCTGGTCTTAACCACTTAAGGGTAATGACCTCTGTAAAACTGCACAGCAAACATTGTACTTAAGGGAAATAATCTATTCTAAGGGATACAGTTAACATTATTTAGTTTCCTAACCCATTTTTGCAGTCATTTCTCTCTGTTTTTCTTTGTCATAGTTATATATTTGAAATCAGTAAGGCTCAGATATAAGCCTTCTGATTTCCTCAATTAGTATTAGATTGCTAGAATAGCTCATACCTATAGTTTTAATTACTACATGTGTCAATACTTGCAAAATTTATACCACCTAATTAGGCTGCTCTAAGATTCATCATCTTAGACCAACTAAATCCATGTGTTTCTGTCCATTCTCATTATACCAATCAAATAAAAGTGATGATCATCCTGGGTCTAACAGCATTATCCATCACCAACACTTTTGATCTATTATCCATGTTGGATCATAATAAATCTTGAAAACAATACAGATCTAATCATGACATAATAACATATCTGCTGAAACACTTCCCAATATTTAATATTTGGGTCTGCAAATTTCTACATAGACTGGCCTCCGTGTGTTCCTCCAGCTTTAACATTTCCATTTCTCCTTTTCCCATGCTCTCCTTTCCTTCATTTTCTATCCACACTGGGCTTTTTTTTCCTCAAAAAAGCCACATTGCCCACCTATTGAGTGGCTTTGGGTAAGCTGATGTTTTTGCATTACAGAAATTACCATAAAGAATATAAATAACAGTGTGCCATAATAAAAGTACACCTAAGTATTTTTCTATTTCCCTTAATTCTAACAGCAAAGAGATTTTTATTTTTATTTTTTATTTATTTATTTTTTCAAGGGCGCCAGGACCAACGATCACTAGCTGCCTGAACTGCAAAAAATTATGCTTCCGAAATCTCTTGATGTCGATTCCGCACGTAGAGCAACCAAGCTACTCTACGTGTGCCACTCACGACAGAAGCCCTTTTTTTCAAAGAGATTTTTAAAAGTGGCTGAAAGGGAATAGGTGACTGTGAGGAATGGGCTGGTTGTCTGCGGTTATTGTTGCATCAGCTATTAATGAGTACTCCAAAACGCAGAGGTCCTCCAAACGGCTCTGACTTAGTACATATGGTCCCCTATGCTCTGACCTGCTATCCTTCAGCTATGCGGAAATGAAACACAGGATAAAGCCCATATCTTCAAAATTGTGTATGTAATGACATGCTATACCATTAAAAGCAACAATGAGTCTGCAGCAATGATATTTTTGAAGAGAAATAATAGTGAATTAAGTGAAAAACATACTTATACTCTCTACTCTTAAAAAATAACCAGAAAAAAATAGTGACCATACAGAAATAGTGCAAAACTTAAAAAGTAAAAAATAAGATAAAATATACAAGAGACTGCTGGACAATATATTTTACTGAGAGGAACAAATGATTTAACAATAAATGTGTCATAATCTCTCATGAACTTTAGAGGTTAAAAAGATAACATATAAGACTACTTAAAGGCCACAAAATGTAATATAAAAGATTCAACTTGAGAAATAAACAAAAGCAAAACTATCACAGAACTTGGCATACATATAGAAAGACAAAAACAAAACAAGGAAAAATAGAAGGAGGCCTGATAGGAAGTCAATGACATGAAGGAAAAACTTGAAATAAACATATAGACAATGGAGAGGAAAATCATGTAAATAAGTAGAATTAAAATATAGTGGGAAATAGTGATATTGGGTACACAATATTACAGTAACTCATGTAACCAAAATAAAGAAGAAAAAGATAGATAGATAGATGATTGATAGATGGATAGAATAGGTGATGGACTTGAAACCAAAATAGAGGAAAAGAGGGGATTGGTAAACAATGAGCATTAAGTAAAATACACAAATACTTGTGTTTCTTCTAAATAATGTTACAAGGGAAAGAGTAATAATATTTTATTTTATACTATTTGTATGAGATAATGGGAGAAATTTTTTGAAAGAAACTGAATACAATATTCTGGATGACAAGTACATAGAAAATAAGCAATATAAAGACATACTCAGTTGAAGTTACAGAGCTTTGAAATACTGAGACAAAATAAAAGTTATTCGGACAAGAAAAATGCCTGTATTAGGGGTAACAAAACAGATTGATATTAGATTTCTCTGTAATCACATTTAAAGCTAAGAAAAAAACCCAATGTTTATATATTTTTAGGGGTAAAGTCATGCCCCCCAAAATTAATACTTAAGCAAACTATAATTCATAGAAAAACATTCTAATACATTTAGGGCCTCAAGTTATGCAGCTGAAACTCTTAAGGCTTTCTTGAAAAATAATAAAGGTTTTAATAAAGACATGGAACTGTGCTCCACTGTTTGTTTTAATGCATAATGTAAAGGATGTTTCAGGATTCCAAGAGATGGCATTTCTGTCTGTTGTGTTTTAAACAGGCCATTTTTATCTCTTCAGTGAAACACTAAGCAATATTTGCATGTTATCAGCATTGCTGTCAGCCCTTTACCAAAGGAGAGATTTTCAAATATTCATGACTAGCAGACTATGAGAGCTAATTTTCATAGTAGGTAGACAAAGAAGGATTTACCTTTCACAGGTAGAGGAGCTCTCAAGGTAAGATGGGTAACCTGCTTCAAATTGGATAGTATTTTGCTCATTTTTTATTATAATTATTGAGACAGAAATGACAATCCCCAGGCTTCTATTACTATTTAGAATGGATTTATTGGTGACATCTGATCACAACTAGCCTATCTCATTTAGAGGAAAACCTTATACCAGAATTTTGCCATTATTGTTTCACTTTCCCTTGTAGCATTATTTGAAAGAAACAAACATTTTGTACTTAATGCTCATAGTTTATTATTCCTCAAGGACAAAAAAGTGAACATCGTTATTTGAATGGCAAGTGATAAGAGATGTCCAGGGCCATAGAATGAAATTTGTCTAACCATTTTCAGGAATGCTCACCAAGTCCAAGTCTAGATTTTCCTTCTAAGCTACATCCATAAATATGAAGCCATCTATGCAAAATTTCCACTTACATATCACAGAGATAGTTCAAACTCAATTCAGACTCAAGTTATCTTCTTCTAAATCCTCTTCATGTCTAATGTTCAGTTTAAATAAATGGCACCATCATTTACCCAGTTGCTCAAGTTTGAAACTTGTGAGTCATGCATGATTTCTTCTCCACCCACAGCCCCAAATCTCACAAATCTGCTAACTACAGTCCATTTTTATTGCCACAGTCATGGTGCAGATTACCATCTTTTTTCAGTTTATTGGTAATCTTCTAACATTCTTCTTTTTTCTTTTGTGATTAAATCATTTGTGCTATTATTCTATTGAAATTGTCCCAATTTCCCCCCTCCACCTCCCTTTTCACCCATTCTACAACCCCCACTCCCACAGTCAATTCCCACACCAGTGTCCATGTCCTTGAGTCATTCATACATGTTCTTTGTCTAGTCTCTTCCCCTTCTTTCCACCATAATTTTTCTCTGCTTTCCCCTCTGGTCACTGTCAGTCTGTTCAATGTTCTGATGCCTGGGGTTCTATTTTGTTCTTTAGTTTATTTTGTTCATTAAATTCCTCATGTAGTCGATATCATATGGTATTTATCTTTTGCTAACTAGCTTATTTCACTTAGTATAATATTCTCAAGTTGTATCCATGCTGTTGTGAAAGATAGGAGTTCCTTCTTTCTGTTGTGTAGTTATCCATTGTGTAAATGCACAACAATTTTTTGATCCATTCACTTACTGATGGGCACTTGGTCTGTTTCCAGCACTTGGCTATTGTGAATACTGCTGCTATAAACACAGGGGCGCATAGGTTCTTCTGAATTTGTGATTCTGGATTCTTGGAATATACTCCCAGTGGAGAAATTGCTGGGTCAAAAGGCAGTTCCATTTTTAGTTTTTAAGGAACTTCCATACTGTTTTCTAAAGTCACTGCACCAGTCTGAATTCCCACCAACTGTGCACTTGGTTTCCCTTTTTTCTGCATCCTGGCCAGCACTTGTTACTTTGTTGATTTATTAATGATGGTCATTCTGGCAGATGTGAGGTTATATCTCATTGTGGTTTTAACTTGCATCTCTCTGATTGCTGGTGATATTGAGCATCTTTTCATATCTCTGTGAATGTCCTCCTTGGAAAAGTGTCTATTCAGATATTTTGTCCATATTTGTTGCCCATTTCTTGATGTTGAGTCATATGAGTTCTTTGCATATTTTGGAGATCAAACCCTTGTCCAATATATCATTGGCAAATATGTTCTCCCATATAGTCAGTTCCCTTTTCATTTTGATGATGCTTTCTTTAGCCATGCAGAAGCTTTTTAGTTTGCTGCAGTCCCATTTGTTTATTTTTTCCTTTATTCCCCTTACCCTAAGGAATGTATCAGTGAAAATATTGCTGCGTGGGATATCTGAGACTTTCCTGCTTATGTTCTCATCTAGAATTTTTATGGTGTCATGACCTATATTTAAGTCTTATCCATTTTGGACCTGTGCTCAGAAAACTATAGAACACTGAAGAAAGAAATTAAGGAAGATACAAATAAATAGAAACATATACTTCGTAGATTTGAAGAATTACCATCATTAAAATGTTCAAACTACCAAAAGCAATCTATAGATTCAACACAATTCCTATTAAAATACTGGTGACATATTTCACAGATGTAGAGCAAATATTTTAAAAATTTATGTGGAATGGGAAAAGACTTCTAATAATAGCCTTGGCAATCTTGAGAAAGAAGAGCAAAGTAAAAGGGATCAGAATGCCTGATATCAAACTAGACTACAAGGCCACTGTAATCAAAACAGCCTGATACTGGCATTAGAACAGATGCATAGATCAACAGATCAGAATAAAGAATGCAGAAACAAACCCAGGTCTCTATGGTCAATTAATATTTGACAAAGGGAGCATGAACGTACAGTGGAATGATGATAACTCTTTAATAAATGGTGTTGGAAGGACTGCACTGGTACATGCCAAAAATGAAACTACACAATCAACTTACACCATGCACCAGAATAAACTTCTAACATTCATTTACTGCCCCTCCTCCTTTAAGTCTAGACTCAATGGTGCGGAGAGATAATCTTTTAAAATTTACATAATTCCACTTCTCTACTAAAATCTAGGAACTGCCTTTCCATTGTCCCCAGAATAAAAGACAACCTGCTTTGAATGGTAGAAGACCCTGTCTGAACAGCCCTGCCTACCTTTCCAACAGCATGTTGTGTTACTGTCAATGTCATCTCCGTTCTAATGCTGGGATTTTTCAGATCTTTAAATGCTCGTATTCCAATTGCACATTAGCCGAAGCTACTTTTTTGTTCAATTTTTTTTGTTTTGCCTTATATCTATTAATCAATTATTTATTTCTCAGCTCAAACATTTTTTGTATGAGAAGCCTTTGCAAATAAACCCTTCTTTCTGTCTGTGGGTAGGTATACTTTTTATGAGTTCTTTTGTACTTGAAACCACTTAATAATATTTAAATACTTAAAACATTTAAAATAACATAACATTTTTTAAATTATGTATTCCTCACTAAGACTATAATTTGTAACAACATACAATTTACTTATTTTTCTTTTTTAAAAAATACTGAATTGTTACCTTTAGCAAATATTAAGAAATTCATATTTGTATAATTGTTTGAATTTTACTGAGGACATATTAGGCTTTTGAAACTTCGTGCTTAATCATTAACTAAAATGTATGTAATCTTATGTAAATTTTAAGAAATTACATAATTTCTAAGTCTAGACAATAAATCTACTGGTCTCATAATGTCATTTACTCTTAACTAATGCTAAATTCATGTAATATTAAATGCCTTGTTCATTGTAGAGTCATCAATAGTTCAAATTAAGTTCTGCTCTTGATGCTAAAGCAGCAATTATTGCATTTTTCCTAATGTTTATAATAAAATTTTAAGAGCTAGAAA